CAACTTACAAAAAGTTTCTCAATATCTCTAATCGTTCTCAAATTATGTGGCATCAAACAAATATACATACAGGACAAACTGAGAACGTCCCTTTTTTTAAGGTAATAAAATATATGATCTTCTCGTACATAAATATGTACGAAACGACGAAGTAAATAAAATAATGAACTTAAATACAGAATTATACACTCATAAGTGATAAACAATAATAAGAAACTCAGGCAAGTAAGAGCCAAAGAATACAAATACTGGAGCCAACATCTTTTGCACCATAAAAATACATTGGACAAAGTGAAAATTAAATATCGTATGTTTCAGTCTCGTTTTGGGTCATCTTCAGCTAATACCAAGAATTACACGTGCATCTGAAATATTGCAGCAACACCCGATGCACTGAAGTAGTAATTTTCCGAAAATTACCAGACCATCGCGACGCGGTTTACACGACCGACGCGTTGCGACCGGAAGTTCTATTCCCCTGGGTTAAATCCCTGGTATTTATTTCGCGCGATCGACAACCCTGACGCATCATCGAGCGGCATCGAGGACCGCTTCAGCAGCTCACTCGCCGGCCTTAGGAGTTTTGTAGCATTTAACCGACTCGATTCGCGATAGTGACTCAGCTCTGTATTCGGCGCCGTGACGAAATCGCTCGTAATCGGCAAAGAGCGACTGCCAACGCTGAGCGTAATAAAAGAGCGATTGAACGGAGAGTCGGCAATGTGTTAGCTCATTAAACTGCTAAGTAGTTCGTTTCTCAAGCGAAACCTTGTGCGTGCATGCGTGCGTGCGTGCGTGCGAGCGATGGGATACATTGTGAGATATAAACAATCACTTCTTAGCAGTTACAATCAATTACTCCAATTATGATAATTACTACTGCAATTATTGGAAGGCCGAAAATCGCTTTCGAAGAAATCTCGGAGTATTCTTGTAGCCTCCACTTGGCGCAAGAAGGAAAGAGACCAGAGATACTTCGTCCTCTCTCGATAGGTTAACGTCATTACGTGTACTCCCGGAATAGCGTCCGCCGCGTAAACGATACAACGCTTATGTACGCTCTTTCCTCCCCTGCATCCGCACGAGTGCACGCACGTACGCACGCACGTACGCACGCACTCACGCATTCTCTCACTCACGCATTCGCGCACACACGAACTCACTTCCGCCGAGTGCGTTAACGCGATGAGACGCGGCACTCAGAAAAGCTGCATGGCTGAGATCGTCGGAAATGGCCGGAATAAAATCGAGGAAACTCGACTACTTCCGCCGCGAGGTCGTACCTCGCTACCGTGTATCCTGCCTTAATTATTCCTCGCCGAGTGCCCCGACACAAGGACGCGCCAGGAAGATCACTAGGCGCACTACCACATCGCCGGGGTTCTAACGCCGAGCGTTTAACACCGGAGGTCGGTCCAGTTCTCTCTCTCGCGAGACTCATCCGCACGACTCGGTGGTAATGGTCCTTGAATGATGATCCTTACATAACCGAGGTTGCTTGGTTTAATGGCTTACGCGTCGCATCCGACACGCTCGCGCCGCGCGTCCACATCGACGGAAATCCGAAGTCTCCGGAGGCAAGGAGCGAAGAGGAGACCGAGGAGAAGGAAGATCACCATTCAAAGAGCCGACTTCCAGTTACTCAATCCTGCGGCCGGCGAAATCTCGCTTGGCCGTGCGCACGGAACGTTTTCGGGGCACCCGCTATACGGCGCGGTACGGCGCCTGGTGAGGTCGTGCGCGACAGAGAGAGAGAGAGAGAGAGAGAGAGAGAGAGAGAGAGAGAGAGAGAGAGAGAGAGAGAGAGAGAGAGAGAGAGAGAGAG